AGGTACTTATATAAGCCTGTTAAAACTGTATTTCATAATGTACATAAAAAAAATGCATGTTGAATCTTTCAATTAACTTTATTTAATCAATAGTTTTATCAAATATGTTGCTAACATAAGTTCTGTCAAACTTGTTATCTTATCTTAGCAACATTTGGATGTGCTACAAATTAGAGTTGTCGTTCCTGGGGTGAAATCTTGTTAAATGTCAGGCTGTGGTATTTTCTAGGAGTTTTGAAAATGACTTTCAACTAGGATAAGATCTCCAATGTTAGTTAAAAAACCCAAATATATATTGTCTGTTAAATTTATCTGATGTTAGCACAATCTTATGTTAGTTAGCATCAAGTCTGTCAAAATCTTATGTTAACGTTACAACACTATTTAGTCTGTCAAATCTTATGTTAGCAACAATAAAGTCTGTCAAATCTTATGTTAGCAACACTATTTAGTCTGTCAAATCTTATGTTAGCAACAATAAAGTCTGTCAAATCTTATGTTAGCAACAATAAAGTCTGTCAAATCTTATGTTAGCAACAATGTTCATTTCTGTCAAATCTTATGTTAGCAACAATGTTCATTTCTGTCAAATCTTATGTTAGCAACAATGTTCATTTCTGTCAATTCTTATGTTAGCAACAATGTTCATTTCTGTCAAATCTTATGTTAGCAATTCCAAGATACGGTAATCTTTTTTAAAAGCTATTATGATTCCTTTTTTACAGGTACAGATGTATAAAAATATTTTATATCAATTTGCCTTTCATTTTTAAGCAAGATATACATCCAAACCTTGAAAATACTGAAGATATCAGGATTGTTCATGTTGCTAACATAAGAATTTTCTGTCAAAATGTCTGTCCTTTTTTATACGACCGAAAACAAAATTTGGGGTTCGTATAATGCTATGATGTCGTCGTCCGAAGACATATTTGGTTTCCGGACAATAACTTTAGTTAATGTGAATGCATCTCTTTTAAATTTTACAAGAAGGTTCAATACCACAAAAGGAAGGTTGGGATTGATTTTGGGGGTTATGGTACCAACCATTTAGGAATTAGGGGCCAAAAAGGGGCCAAAAATAAGCATTTTTGTAGTTTCTGGACAATTACTTGTCTGTAAGTGTATGGATTTCTCTGACATTGTACCACTATGTTCCATATCACAAAGGGAAGGCTTGGATTGAGTTTGGGGGGTAATTGCACCAAACATGCAGGAATTAGGGGCAAAAAAGGGGCCAAAACAAGCATTTTCATACTTCTGCAAAAATATTTTGCGGTCGTATATTGGTATCACGCCGTCGTCGTCCGAATGAAATTTTTTTCCGGACAATAACTTTAGTTTAAGTGTATGGATTTCTATGAAATTTAATCAAAAGGAAGGTTTGGATTGTTTTTGGGGGTGATGGTCCCAACCGTTTAGGAATAAGGGGCCAACACAAGCATTTTTCTAGTTTCAGGACAATAACTTGTGTATTAGTATTTTGATTGCTCTGAAATTGTACCACAAGGTTCAATACCACAAGTAGAAGGTTGAGTTTTACTTTAGGGGGTAATTGCCCAAACCGTTCAGGAATTAGGGGCCAATAAGGGTCTATAAACAAGCATTTTTCTAGTTTTCATACAATAACTTGTGTTTAAGTGTATGGATGTCTCTTAATTTGTACCACATTTTACAAATAGAAAATTTCTTCAAATATTTTTTTTTTGGAGGGGGTAAAAAAAAAAAATAGGGGGGGTCAATTTGTTTCCCTCAAGATTTAAGAAATTTTCAATTTTCCAAAGAAAAAAAATTTAATTGGGGGTCACAATTTATTTTGCTAATTCTTTGTATATAGTCTGAAAACAGATTTACTAAGTATTGCACAACAGCACAGTGTATTGCACAACAGCAAGAAATCTTCAATTGAATATAAATTCAAATCATACATTTGGATTCCGGACAATAACTTTAGTTTAAGTGTATGGATCACTATGAAATTTAATAATCAAAAGGTTCAATACCACAAAAGGAAGGTTGGGATTGTTTTTGGGGGTGATGGTCCCAACCGTTTAGGAATTAGGGGCCAAAAAAGGGCCAAAACAAGCATTTTTCTAGTTTCAGGACAATAACTTGTGTAAGTATTTTGATTGCTCTGAAATTGTACCATCAGGTTCAATACTACAAGTAGAAGGTTGGGATTCATTTTGGGGGTAATTGCCCAAACCATTCAGGAATTAGGGGCCAAAAAGGGTCTAAATCAAGCATTTTCCTAGTTTTTAGACAATAACTTGTGTTTAAGTGTATGGATGTCTCTTAATTTGTACCACATTTTACAAAAAGAAAATTTCTTCAAAATTAATTTTTTTGGAAGGGAGGGGGTAAAAAAACATTTTTCTTTTTTTGGGGGGGACAATTTTTTTTCCTCAAAAGAAAATTATCTTCAAATATTATTTTTTTTGGAGGGGGGGTAAAAAAAAAGTTTTTTGGGGGGTAAAAAAAGAAGTTTTTTGAGGGTCAATTTTTTTTCCTCAAGATTTGAGAAATTGTCAATTTTCCAAAGAAAAAAATTGGGGTCACAATTTATTTTGCTAATTCTTTGTATATAGTCTGAAAACAGATTTACTAAGTATTGCGCAACAGCACAGTGTATTGCACAACAGCAAGAAATCTTCAATTGAATATAAATTCAAATCATTCAACCAATTTCAAGTTCTTTGACTACATTTATTCTGTGTCAGAAACCTATAGTGTGTCAAATATTTAATTACAATCCAAATTCAGGCCTGTGTCAAGCTTGAATATTGTGTCCAATTTTGCCCAAACTGTTCAGGGTTGGACCTCTGCGGTCGTATCCAGCTGTGCTCGGCGAAGCAGTTAATTCTAGTTTCCAGACAATAACTTGTGTTTAAGTGTACTGATCTCTCTCAAATTGTACTACAAGGTTCCATACCAGATTCTTTTTATGCCCCCGCCGTAGCGGCGGGGGCATTAAGTTTTACCCTTGTCTGTCCCAAAATTGGTTTCCGTTCTCTTTCTTGAGTTTGCCTCAACCAAATGTTATGAAACTTATACACAATGCTTATTACCACAAAACACAGATCAAGTTTGAATTTTGGTTGTATCACTTTAACCGATCTAGAGTTATGCCCCTTTATAAATGGAAAAATTGCAAAATTTTTAGTTTCCGTTCTCTAACTTAAGTTTGCCTCAACCAAATGTTATGAAACTTACACACAATGCTTATTACCACAAAACACAGATCAAGTTTGAATTTTGGTGTCATCACTTTAACCATTTTACAGTTATGCTCCTTTATAAATGGAAGAATTTCAAAATTTTTAGTTTCTGTTCTCTAACTTGAGTTTGCCTCAACCAAATGTCATGAAACTTATACACAATGCTTATTACCACAAAACACAGATCAAGTTTGAATTTTGGTGGCCTTACTTTAACTGTTCTAGAGTTATGCCCCTTTATAAATGGAAAAATTGTAAAATATTTAGTTTCTGTTCTCTAACTTAAGTTTGCCTCAACCAAATTTTATGAAACTTATACACAATGCTTATTACCACAAAACACAGATCAAGTTTGAATTTTGGTGGCCTTACTTTAAATGTTCTAGAGTTATGCCCCTTTATAAATGGAAAAATTGTAAAATTTTTAGTTTCCGTTCTCTAACTTAAGTTTGCCTCAACCAAATTTTATGAAACTTATACACAATGCTTATTACCATAAAACACAGATCAAGTTTGGATTTTGGTGGGTTCACTTTAACTGTTCTAGAGTTATGCCCCTTTATAAATGGAAAAATTGCAAAATTTTTATTTTCTTCTAAATATCAAGTAATTTTTTAAATTGGAGTTATCTTCCTTTGTCCATGATTATAGTTGAATCAACTACAATCAATGCTTTATACAATGCAATGTTTAATTTTGACTTCCACTGATAAAACACAGATCAAGTTGAATTTGGGTAGTGTCACTTTAACCATTATTGAGTTATGCCCCTTTATAAATCGAAAGATTGCAAAATTTTTAGTTTCCATTCTGTAACTTAAGGTTGCCCCAACCAAACATTATGAAACCTATACACAATATTCATTACCACAAAACTAAGATCAAGTGCAAATTTTTTTATTCTGTTTTTCTTACTTTAGTTTGCCTCAACCAAATGTTATGAAACTTATACACAATGCTTATTACTACATAATACAGATTAAGTACGAAATTTGGTGGCGACACTTTTACCATTCTTGAGTTATGTCCGTTTATAAACATAAAAATTGCTGAATTTTGAGTTTCTGTTCTCTTCTTAAATTAGCCTCAACCAAATGTTACAAGACTTACACACAATGCTTATTACCACAAAACTCAGATCAAGTTCAAATTTGGGTAGCGTCACTTTTACCGTTCTTCAGTTATGTCCCTTTATAACTATATGATATGCAAGCAGGGGCATCATCTGTGTCCACATGTGGACACTATACACATTTATTTCCAAATTTTTTCAAGTTTCAAGAAGAAATCTTCAATTGCACAGTATTGGGCAATAGATTTTTAAGATCTTTGACCACATTTATTTTGTCTCAGAAACCTTTATTATGTCAAAAATTTGATCACAATCCAAATTCAGACAGTATCAAGCTTGAATAGTGTGTCCAAATTTGCCCCAACTGTTCAGGGTTCGACCTCTGCAGTCGTATCAGGCTGCGCTCAGCGAAGCATTTTATCTTATGATAGCAACATTATATTTAACGTGTCCTTTATTTAAAAATATGATGTGAATAGCTTTAATTTTTGGCAAAAAGTCTTTATTTATATAAGTATAATATATGTATTCCAAAACAAAAGTTCATTGGTGTTGATTAATGCCAAACATACATGTACTTATGAATTTTTTTTACTTTCTTATATGGAATCTGCCCTATATGGCTACAAAAGTTCATTGTGAGACATAATTTTCGTATATATTTTTAAATGAACATGTATGTAACTCACCATCTTGTTATATTCTTGTAGGTATATACAGACATGCTATAGGTATAGCAGTTGGAGCTTTTGTTGGCCACCAAATGGTAGAATACAGTAATAACAGGAGTAGAAAGTTGCAGTTACTATATGAAGATTATGTTACAAGGCATCCTGATGCATTTAGAGAACCAGGTTATAACATTAACAGTAATAATTTTTCTGCACTTGGTGCACATTTCGACACTATAAGCCTCTTCAGTCATGTCAGTGATGCTCGTGGCCAAAATGTCTGTTAACCCATTACTAATTAAAAAAATTGAAGCGCTTATAAACCAAAAAGGACAAAAATTAAAGCCAAAGCTGAGCAAGGAATCCGAGCTTTGCATAAGGAACTAGGAGATATATTCCTTAATTTAAAATAATTTCCAAAATTTTGTAACAGCAAATTTTGATAAGATAATATCCGTATTTTCATGCCAGTACATACCCAGCTGGTGATACCCTCTGTGACAAACAGTCAACTAGCAGAGGTACTGTACATATGTAATATAGGCGATTAGGCCAGGCAAAATTATATGTGTGGTTAGAGTTTAATCCTTAAAATAAATAGCATAGGTAGGTAGTAATTGTTATACAAGTGTCCTATTTTTATTAACATGAATATATATATGGAGAGACCTGTCAGAATTTACTATGATAAGAGCTAATAAAATAATATAGGGTCTGTAGGGAATCCCTTCACACAAGTATATTCTCTTGACCTTATATGGCAAGGCATCCTGTAGCATTTAGAGAATCAGGTAATATGGGTTATTATAGGAGGGTCTGGATTGGGGGGTCTTTCATTTCTGTATACTTTAATTTTTTAGGCCATTTTTATCTATTCTTTATACTTTTTGCCTATTATTCTCTATTCTTTATATTTTAGCACCCCATTACTCTCTATTCTTTATTTTTTTTTGGTCCATTTTTCTCTATTCTTTATCTTTTTGGTTCATTTTTCTCTATTCCTTATATTTTTGGTCCATTTTTCTCTTATTCTTTATATTTTTTGCCCATTATTCCGTATTCTGTTAACCCCAATCCACACCCTCTTATAGGGCAAGGAATCCTGAGGCATTTAGACATTTTTTGGAAGCAGTAATACACGTAATCATATGGCATGGCATCCTGATGAAATAAAGAGAATCGGGTTATATGGGGTTTTCAGAATAGAGAACTAGATCTAGAGGCTCTCAAGAGCCTGTGTCGCTCACCTGTATCTACTGTGGTTTTGTAAATCATGAAAAATAAGGTTAAAATAATAATAAATAGTATAAGATACCCTAATAACGATTGAGGCCAAGTTTGGTTTAATTTGGCCCAGTAGTTAAATTAAAAGCAGAAGATTTTTCGGGGTCAATTGACAATTTTGGTCATGTTTGACTTATTTGTAGATCTAACTTTGCTGCATGAACATTATTGCTGTTTTCAGTTAATCTCTATCTACAATAATATTCAAGATAATAACCAAAAACTGCAAAATTTCCTTAAATTACCAATTCAAGGGCAGCACCCCAACAACAGGTTGTCTGATTCGTCTGAAAATTTCAGGGCAGATAGATTTTAACCTAATGAACATTTTTACCCCATGTCAGATTTGCTCTAAATGCTTTAGTTTCAGAGATTTAAGCCAAAAACTGAATTTTACCCCTATGTTCTATTTTTAGCCATGTCAGCCATATTGGTTGGCAGATGGGGTCATTGGACAATTTTTAAAGTAGATACCCTAATGATGATTGTGGCCAAGTTTGGTTAAATTTGTCTCAGTAGTTTCAGAGGAGAAGATTTTTGTAAAAGATTAAAAAAATTTAGGAAAAATTGTTAAAAATCGACTATCAAGGGCAATAACTCCTTAAGAGGTCCATTGACAATTTTGGTCATTTGACTTATTTGTAGATCTTACTTTGCTGAACATTATTGCTGTTTACCATGTTTACAGTTTAATGATGATTGTGGCCAAGTTTGGTTAAATTTGGCTCAGTAGTTTCAGAGGAGAAGATTTTTGTAAAAGTTAACGGACGCCAAGTGATGAGAAAAGCTCACTTGCCCATTGGCCAGGTGAGCTAAAAATGGGCCAATAATATAGAAAAATGAGACATAGAAATAAAGAAAAGAGAAAAATAGGCAAAAAAATATAGAATAAAAAATAATGGAGTACTGAAATATAAAGAAAAGAGAATTAATTCAGCGCATGTCTACATTTATCGGGAATTACGCCCCCTTTCAAAAATCCTACAAATGTAGAAATAACATGCATTGAATAATTTGAGCATTTTCCATGGTTACTAGAAAGTATCAATTCAACCAAAAAAATGTAAAATATTTTATTCAAATATAGAAAAATATCTTTCAGTATTAATTTTCCTTTATAAAAATTGATTAGATTTTACATTTCAAGGATGGACAATAATAAATGCACACAATAATTTCTGAATTATGTGGCAGGGTTAAGGGAGCTACCATTTGATTTTTATGGGGGGGGGGGGGGGGGGGGGGGCTAGGATGAATTTGAAAAAAAAGGCAGTACAGGAGTTTTGAGTAAAAAAAAAGCAGGATGAGCAACTTGGCAAAAAAAAAGGCAGGATGACAATTTATGTAAAAAAAGTCAGGATAAACTAATAAGAAAAAAGGCAGGACTGAATAGAGTAAAAATTAAAAGGCAGGTCAGAGATAACAACTAAAAAAAAATGCAGGACAAAATTTTTCATCCTACCCCCCCATAAAAATCAAATGGTAGCTAGCTCCCTAAAGTTGTTTTTAAGATCTCAACGCTCATCTTTTTAATCTTGTCCAGTGAACTAACAAAAGATAAATGAAAGAGCATATACAATAAATAATCATGACCAGGAAAAAGCAAAATAACAAAAATACCGAACTCCAAGGAAAACCTAAAATGGGAAATCCCCAATTAAATGGCAAAATCAAAAGCCCATACACATGAAACTAATGGAAAACAACTGTCGTATTCCTGACTTGGTACAGGCATTTCCTTATGTAGACATCAGAAACTATTAATTAACTGTATTACAGTACTGTGGATTTATTATTAGTCCCCTACCGACGAAGTCGAAGGGGACTTTAGCTTTGCATGCCATCAGTCTGTCTGTCTGTCTGTCTGTCTGTCAGTCCGTCCAGCAAATCAGTTTTCCACACTTTTTTTCTTCATGCTTGAAGATATTGATTTGATATTTGGTGTATTGTTTCATCATGACAAGTTACAGATCAAGTTCGAATTTTGTACCGGTCTGATGATTGTGTGTAGAGTTATGGTCCTTTGACTTAGAAAATTCACTCTAATAATCAGTTTTCCACGGTTTTTTTTGTCAGTCTTGAAGATATTGATTTGATAATTGATATATAGTTGTATCATAACAAGTTACAGTTCAAGTTTGAATTTTGTTCCGGTCTGATGATTTTGTGCAGAGTTATGGTCCTTGGACTTAGAAAATTCACTCTAATAATCAGTTTTCCGCACTTTTTTTCGTCATGCTTGAAGATATTGATTTGAAAATTGGTATATAGTTTTATCATGAAAAGTTACAGATCAAGTTCGAATTTTGTTCTGGTCTGATGATTTTGTGCAGAGTTATGGTCCTTGGACTTAGAAAATTCATTCAAATAATCAGTTTTCAACACTTTTTTTCATTATGCTTATATTGATATTGACTTGATATTTGTTATATAGTTTACACCATGACAAGTTATAGATCAAGTTAGAATTTTGTTCCAATGAATTTTTAACCGATAGGGGACTATGTATTGCCATGCAATACTCACAGAATGCTCGTTATTTGTGGTATACCAATTTTCGTGGATTTCGTGGGGATATGTAAACCACGGATTTAAAGGTTCAACAAAGCGCCAATTATCTTATCTTTAGGCTTGTATGCAGAAATAACGTTTTACCTCTAACATGTCTAATCCACAAAAATTGGTACCTACGAAATAACGTTTTACATCTAATCCTCAAAAATTGGTACCCACAAAATAACGTTTTACCTCTAATCCACAAAAATTGGTACCCACGAAATAACGTTTTACATCTAATCCACAAAAATTGGTACCCATGAAAAATAAAGAAATCCACAGTAAAAGATTAGTTTTGTTCTTTTAAGGTGGTACATAACACTACAGGGAGATAACTCTGTAAAAATCAGCTGAACGTTTTAATCACATTCTATTGTTAAGGAAATATTAAGCTTCTCAATGATCAAAATTAGTGTTTGTCAAACTGCTATATATCCAATGAAATTTTTCCAATAAAGTGTGTGGTTTAAGTTTTTTGAAATTTTTATATTTTTGTCAAAGGGTCAAAGTTAATATTTTGTCAACATTTTATGAAAATTAATTTTAGTCAAGGTGTTTGGTACCACCTTAATTTTAATTACAATTGTTTTTCATTTCAGATCCAAAACCAAAGTACAAGGATGTTTTGTTACCATGGTTTCCAACACGCTAATATGATTGCTTACACAAACTCTGCTTTAAACATTTGCTGTTTGATAATATTGTTATTTACTGAAGAAAGAATGTGTTTAAAAGTCAAAGTATTAGTTTTTTCTTTGTTTATTATGATTAACCTTGGAGTAATGTAACAAAATGTGAGACTTGAAAAAAAGCAGCAACATTTACTGCTGAAATTGTTTTAAGGATGTACTTAGGTGAAATTAAAAAAATATAGAATTTAAAATTGAAACTATAAGTCAGAAAAGCATTAGTTAAGGAACAAAATAAGCAAAAAATATTGATAGATTATGGAGCTCCTTTTCAAGATATTTAATTTTTATACGACCGCAAAAATTAAAAAATTTTTGGTCGTATATTGGTATCACGTTGTCGTCATCGTCGTCAGCGTCGTCCGAAGACAGATGGTTTCCGGATAATAACTTTAGTATAAGTAAATAGAAATCAATAAAATTTTAACACAAGGTTTATAACCACTAAAGGAAGGTTGGGATTGATATTGGGGGTTATGGTCCCAACTGTTAAGGAATTAGGGGCCAAAAAGGGGCCCAAATAAGCATTTTTGTAGTTTCCAGACATTAACTTGTGTTAAAGTGTATGAATCTCTCTGAAATTATACCACAAGTTTCCATACTACAAACACTACAAACCAGTAAAAGTCTGAAATGGCCTATATCTGTACTCGA